GGATTTTCTGCGGTTACAGCGAGCAAAACAAAGCTATGGAGCAGACTGGACATCAGGAGCACACTTCGTGTGTCATTGTCTTCTATTTTGCCTCGATGGGACTGGCTTGTTTTATTTTTATGCTGTTTGCATTTGATTTTATGCCAGTCGTATCATTTTATTTCAGCGTATTTAAGCCCCCCCCCCCCCCGCCCCGGCCGGTCTGTGAAAATATTGTCTGACATATAGCGGTCCGTGGTGCAAAAAAGGTTGGGGACTGCTGCTTTAAGGCCCAACACTGAGCTCTCTGACCAACAGCCTCTCGCATAGAAAACATTGGCTGGATGATGTTTAAACCCAAACAAAACTGAGAGACCAAATAATGCCTCAGATATAGAAGTACTAACCCCTGCAATAAAGAGCATTTAGGCAATATTAGCAAGGCAACAAAAGAAATTCAGGGGTCATTTTTTTATTTCTCTAGAAAATCACAAAACATTTATGAAAGACCAGCTTCCAAATCATCTCTAAAATTGAATTTGAAATGCTGATCTGTATTTTTCCACATCTAGGCTACTGTAATAGTTTGTTTGCTTGTCTAAACCAAATGGTGCTGATCCGTCAGCAGCTGGTACAGAACTCTGCTGCCAGGATCCTGATGGCAATCGCATTTTAGAGCACAAGTTCCAGGACTGCTATGGCTGTGTGGTTTATTTTTTATATTATAGTTTTTATTTAACTGTTTTAATTTTTTTACTATTGTTGGAGAAAGATGCTATGTAAATAAAATGTACTTGGGTGCCTGGTTATTGAGGCCTCGTTATTCAGGCCATTTCCTACACCTTAATGTAACAAAGTTCTCTACAGAAGTTAAAATCAGGCAGACGCGCACTAGAAATTATCAGACTAAAAAGACAAACATACATGATAAAGATGGAAAAAATAAGATGTTGATAAATCAAATAATTTTGGAGGATAAAGTCTACATCTTCTGTTTTTAATACTGCAGGTCAGTTGGGAGCTTTTGTAAAAGTATCTGATCATTTAGTATCTGAAAAGCGCATCGAGCATCTGTATTTAGCCTACCTAGACAAACATTTTTGCACAGCAACTTTCACTGCAGTTAAATCTGCAAGCCTTCGCAAAATGTCTCTTCCCTCTTTGTCAATAACCTACTCTGAATTTTTTACTATTTCTTCTTGCAAGTAATAAAGCAGCTATTTTAAAACCTACTAACCTACTCCAGAACTCTGGCTATTTGTTTATGGCCATTGTCCTTCTGGGAGAAGGAACTTTTCACCCTGTAGCAGAGAGTCAGGATTGGTTATCCTCACTTTAACTTTGAACATTTGCCTTTATGCCAAAGCTTGATGCTGCCCCACCATCTTTCCACATGTTTGCTGTTTCCATAACATGACTTTTAGGCAACTTTATACAAAACATCTTATTGCATTCTATAAACATGTACATTCTTCCTCACACTCTTCTGTAAAGCCATATTTGTTGAATGCATGTCTACTAGTTGTCTTGTTGACAGATTTCCACTACCTTGTGGGCCTTTCTGTAATAGTTACAGTTATCCTCATGGTTGTTTCTCTGGTTATTGTTTTCTTTGTCAGTAATTTTAGGCCGTGTTTTTGAAAGTTTGCAGTTGTTTGTTTTAGGGATATTTGAGTAGATATCCCTTAAACAAACACACTTTTCTATGAAATAGATTAATTATTCTTTTCTCCTGATGGACAAGTGCTCTATTTTGTGTTGGTCTATCACTTAAAATCTTGTAAAATAGATCTAGGTTTGTGGCTGTAATGGAACAAAGTGTTTAGATCGCAGGTCTTCAACAGGAAGTCCGTGACCCCTAGGGGGTCCACAGAGGTACTGCATGGGGGTTGCGAAAGTTTTGGTTGATTAGACTTTTTTTTAAATATATGTTCCCCCTTGCAGTTTTTTCCACTAATTGAAATTTATTTAAATGCACATTAACATGAATTCAACACACTGTAGTAAACAGATAAATGGAGGCAGAAGATGTCTTTCAGTCATCAACGAACACATTCAGCAACACACAGGAGCATTTTCAAGCTGGGTAAGGTTTCATTCACAACACCTGTCCCATCAACCAGGAATCAGAATCAGAAATACTTTTGATAATCCCAGGGTGAAATTACTTTCATTACATTTCCCCATCTGTAATAGACTGACTATAGGACCAGTTTAATATAACACAATTTCATAGACTATGTATAATTAGGGGGTCCCCTCTCCATCTCACCATCAGCTTGGGGGTCCTTAGCCTGGAAAACCTCTAGACCTCTGGTATAGATGTTCAAGGTTTGAAAACCTTTGCAAAGACCTGTAAATGGCAAAGTGATATTACTATTTGACCCCAAAAGCATAACTGGTATGCTAACCTGAGTAGGGAGACAACCCACCCCACCCACCAAAAAAGGAAGTAAATTCAAGTCATGGTTGTAAACACTTCCTAAATGACTGTGCCAGAAGTAACAAGGCTGCTTTCTATCACTAACTCAAATCTTAAGGATTATTTTCCTGGCGGCTCGGAAATGATGCATAATTCATTTGCCTCTCTTTGTTGAGGCGGAACCACAGGAAGGTCACCAATGCTTTTAGTTGTGCAGCCAACCGCGTTTACTGGAAACATTTTCTGAGCTCTAGATGGTATTTTTGTTTTCTTTTATTTGGCTCAGCCACAGGAATAGAGCTCCACTCCAGCTCCATAACAGGGCAAGCAGAGTTCACTTTGATGGGAGAAAAGGGCCTGTCGGGGGAGAATACACGTCTTTTCCTTCCTGCTATGGGCAGGAAAAAACTCCAGAGGCGGATTTTATACGAGCTTATGTGACAGAGGACCAACACAACTTAGCAAAAGCTGTGAAGTGAAAATGAACATAAATGGTTTTTATATTTAAAAAAAAAAAAGCTGGTGAACATTTTTAGCACAATTGCAATGTTCAATACATCCTCTTAAAATGAAAAGTGTTTGTATGACACCAATGCAAACCTACCAAGACAATAACCTGAAAACACCAAAGTGGGTAAGAAACAACATCCATAAGAGAAGAGCCCTAAAGGCCCTTTGTAATTCGGGATCTCTAGTGTGTTTTTTGTCGCATAAAATACTGATAAAATATGTTGACATTTAGAGTGTGAATGTTGCTAAATGTACGAAACCAAATGAGTATGAATATTTTATGAAGCATTATATGAATCAAAACTATTGTTAGATGCATAGAAATGCATTTTGCCAAAATTGACTGATAATAATAAAAAAAAACTCAGAGAGAAACATAAATAATAAAAGTTCAAGTATGAGTCATGAACGGAGCATCTGTATCCACTGTGCCCATAGTCCTATAAATACAGGGTGGACTGAAATAGAGTGTAAGTCATGGGAATGAGCCCTCAAGCTTGCAGTGCCTGTCGTTGCTTCCCTGCCCATTAAAGTATTCATAAATAAACATGACAGCACATCAAAAAGCAACTTTCTCAATAACAGCATGCTTATCAGAGCAACAAAGAGCCCATCCCATCCTCCACAGCTCAGACTGGCAGCCCTATTATTCAATTATTTGTTTTGCTGTGAATACCTTTATTCCTCTCTCTTTTCCTATTGCTTTTGAAGTTTGTCTGTCACAATTATTAGTTGTTTTCCTATTTTTTTGGTTAACATTTAAATGCTAAAAGGATAATTGGCAGGAGGAATTTTGTGAGAGCACAAACAGAGCTGGCTGTGAATGAATACGTCCTGAGGGCTCAGGACGCCTGCAGGGCACCGTGGAGAGGACATTTACCATATAATGTCCTCCCTCTTCCTATTGGCTGGCTAATTGCTGGTTAGAGGGCAGAATACCTGCAAATCTGATGGTTAGTGATTAGGTCTGTGAACAGTCATCAGAAGAAGGATCCCCTGTGACTAACACACATTTGAAGAGAACAAGGCCCGTCTTCAGGCATGAAGGGAGCAGAACATGAGAATCCTTAATTAAAAAACAGACTTTGACCTAATTTTGAAAAAAAAAAAAGCAATCTCAAAAGATATTTATTTTTATTAGGGTTACAAAAATTATCAAGTTCAGATTAGATTAGTTAAATTACAATTAAAACATGAGTATTCTGTTTTTTTTTTTATAAATTACATGCAATATTATTTGCATTAAATAAGATATTCAAATTTTTTATATACTTCTGGCAAGATTATGCTGCATTTTGGTGCATTATATTGTTACTTATATGTGAAGTAAATAGTAAACTGTAAAAAATAACATGTAGATAAATGTCAGCTTTGGTCATCTCTCTACATATAGAGCTCTTTTTTAAAACAGTAGTAGCTTTCCTAGTTTACAATACATTAAAAGACTCATAGTTATATACAAATAACTAAAATAGAATCAAGCATAAAATAAAAATCATATAAATCATTTAATTCTAAATATACACCAAAACACAATCCTATTTTGTAATCATTATTCTAAAATGGATAACATTTATACATAGAAATTATAAGTAATTAACAATTAGATTAAAAAAAAAATTAAATAATAACCATTTGTATTCCGATATCGGTTAATATGTCATATTTTTATATATCTATTATAGTTTTACATAAAAATGGGTATATACTGAAGGAACAAATTCACCTAAATACCTACTTATTTCTACATCATTTTCTCTTAATAAGATTGTTTGCAATATTTACTTCATTATTTCATAACAAATGAAAACGGTCTGATGTATCGGTTAAATATATATATAGATATATATATATCTATATATATCTATATATATTTTTTTTTTATTATTATTATTTTATTTTTTTCGTTTCTGTTTGAACTACATGTCCCTAAATCAATCTTTTTATTATACTCGATGGCGATTGGTTGCAACTCAATTAAACTTTGCCGTGCCGCTCTGTGTGTGGTCACACTATCCTGTCAATCAAGCCTACTCCTCTGGACCAATCAGCTGTGGGATTTTGCCGTAGTGGGCGGGACTACATCACTTCCTCGCGCAGCGTAACAGTTCCTGGTCAGTGCTAGCAACCTGCTGCCTGTAACTTCTCTAATTATTCAGACTCGGTCCGCTTTTAAACCGAGCTTCTTCCAACATGTGTCCGAGGATGAGACCGTGTGGAAGGTGAGCGCAACGCGGCCCTCGGCTCTGTGTTTCCCCGGCTGCATGGTGCACTCCGACGCCCGGGGTTGCGGTTTGGCCTCCAGCCGCGGCTGCGAATGAACTTCATTTCTCAGCGTCGCCCAGCTCTATTTAATTTATAAAGATGGCGGTGAGGGGGACACTGTGAACTAAATGACTGTCAGAAACATCGCCTCCATTTGTAATATGGTGAGTAAACACCCGGTGGTTGTTATTGATTGATTTGCTGCAAACAGTTTTCAACCTGCTTGGATGGAGATGTTTGTGGACGGGTTGCCTCCCACCTGCAGCCTGACTGGGACTCCTCACAGGAGGAAGCCCTGCGGGGATCTCCTCCTCTAACACCTGGGTCAGTGTTTCCACCGGCCGCGGGTCTTCCTGCAGCGCAGCGGGTCATTTGTAAAGCTGTCAGCTGTGATTGACAGGAGACTGGAGCGGCTCCGCTGCCTCTGACAGCTCCTGGTTGCATAATGTGGAGCTGCTGCAAAGAGCAGGAGTCTGCACTAATCTGTGTTTAATGTTGTGTTCAGGCCACAGAGAAGAGTGGGAACAAACTGACTTAATGCCTGCCTTAATGCCATTGGCCCTTGCTTTATTTAGACAGGTCACTGATGTCAAAACCCAGTAGTATTAGTCTCTGAGGTCTGCTGATGCTCTGCTGCAGGGGCGGAGCTAGATGGTGGCCAGGGGTGGCCATGGCCACCCTTAGCCAATCAATGGCCACCCTACCATTTATTTCCCTCTAATACAGATAGTGGCAACGGTAATATATTAATTATCCAGGGGGGTGTTTCCCTTTAATCCAAATCCTGATATCCCCATATTTTAGCTGGATTTTTCAAAAATAACTTTTATTCAACTTTTAAAATAAAAGATTATGTTTTTACCTCAGATGAGAAACCAAAACTTATACTAGACAACTTGGCAACTTGAGATTACTATGAGTTCGTAAAACTGTAATTAGTGTTAAAAGTACAAATATCCTCCTTAAAATCAGTATGCAACTGTAAGGGTATGGTATCTAATCAAAGGAAGATTCTTATAGGGGATAGACTTTCCTGTAAAAACAATTAAATAAAAGAGCTGCAACTAACAATTATTTTTATAACTGATTGATCTCTTATTTTTTTCTATAAATACTCAGATATTAAAAGGTTACTTAAAGATTTTTTTTTAAATAGAAATGAAACCAGGTAAAACTAAAATGGTGCCTCTTGGGAAGATCTGGATAAAGCTTTTTTTTTTTATCTTTAAGGAAAAAAGTGTATATATATATATATATATTTTTTTTTTTTTTACAATTTTGGCATAATTACTGCTCTAAGTAGTTTCTTCTTCAGCTAATGACATGTTTTAGAGTCTTTTTACTCCATTTTATGATAAATTGTTTGCAAATTCAGTTATGATTATTTCAATGGTCCATTATTCACATTGAATTCGATTGTTTCAGCACTAGACTGGACACATCTCCACCTAACTATAAGTAAATATAAACTTTAGAGCAGGCATGTCCATAGTTGTCTCTGGAGTGGTGCTATCCTGTGGGTTATAGAGGTTTCCCTGCTTCAATACAGCTGATTTCCATTGATAGCTGATTGACAGGATTTTGCTAAATTGCGATAATCAGAATCAGCTGAGGTGAAGCAGAGGAGCATGGAAAACTTGTAGGACAGCAGCCCTCAAGTACCGCCTTTGGACATACCTGCTTTAGACCCTTCAAAATTATAACAAAAAAATAAATACTATATTTTTTTCATTCATTAATTAATAATTCTGCACCACTATTAGCATTTGTTTTTGTTAACCAATTTCATGGATAAAGGCCAATTTATGCCTCTGATGCATAGCCTCTGCAACCATCGGCATGCACCTAAAACAAATCCTGACTACGCGTCGGACAGTCCCAAACAGTCGCAGACCTCAAGCAGAAGTGTGCGGTCCTTGGTATGCCTTTCCGGCTGTCTGTGTGGTTGTCCTTCTCAATTCAGTGCCAGGGTGCGCCATTTTTAAAAACAGAGGAGTAATAACAACAATGGATAACTATGATGAAAGGTTAATCAAGGAGGTTCCGAAGTACAATCACTTGTACGATGCCTCAGACAGAGCCTGTTCCTCTTCGATGTCTAGCAACTCTAGGTCCATCTAGATCCATTTATAAGAATCAATCATCGCTTTGGCAGGAAACTGCTGTGCGTCCCTAGAAATTCCAGACCAGTGGTACAGAAGCATACCAGCAAAACTGTTTCACGACCAGACCTGAGCGACATTTGATCTGAGCGGTTGCAGAAGTATAATCTGCCCTTAAAGTTGTAGCAATGACCTTTCATCCTTTAATTCATAGTCTTGATGTGAGCAGAACCTAATTTGGCCAAAGCTAAATGTCCCACTACTAATTTCCAAAGTTGGTGAAAACGCTTAACTATTGACCGAAAAACTAATCGAATTTTATAATTAACGGATTTATGCCTACCTATGCATTTATTCTGCAGTGCCATCAATTTTATGCAGCTTATGAAACAGGAAGGGATCTCTGATAGTTAATTGATTTTACATTTTCAATGATGTAATAATTTCTGATTACTCTGACAGGTAAATGTCTTACTTCCCTCTCCATTCCATAGTAAATTTCCTTCAATTCTTTCTCCTTATAGTATCTGCCTGAGTCAGCCCTTGGCTAACTGTTAAGAAACACACCCAGTAATTCATGATGCCAGATGCAGTAGCTCTGTTCATGAACACAATGAAGTTTTTCACCCAGACTTGAGTGAAAAGCCTCTAACATGTGTGTGCAATGTAACACTGTGAGTGAACAAAAATGCACCCCGGTCCACCCTGAGTGATCGTCCACTCAAGTTCCAGATTTCGCTGTGGTGGGAAACCACAGTGTGCATGTTCTGCATGATAATTGGGGTTAATGGATTGGTTCTTGTACAAGGAAAGAGGGTAGGATGTGGGCTTGCAAAGCTGATGCCTCACACAGGATTGAGACATGTGTTTAATTGCATATAAAATATGCTCCGATACCTTTTTGAATGTTTTCTTAATCCAAAGTGTGACTTTAAGCAGACAGTTAATGAATGCATGCCTTGAGGTGGTTGGTTTAAATCTAGAACCTTCTGTTGTTGTTTTGCCCAACATGTTAGAAGTAAAAGTGAAGTTTTCAAGCTGCAGGCTGTAAATATGTTAACATCAGTTGCCAGGTTAAAGTTTAATTTCCCACATTAGAGCTTGCATTAGCATCTTCTCAGTTTTCCATAAATGTTATGTCAATATTCGCTGGAATGGTTGGTGCAGTTAAGGTAGGCATCATTAGACCTTCCTGTTATTATAGGAACATGCTGTTCACAGACTTGCGTATGCGCCATAGCCTCTTTGACTGGAGGCGGTTAATCGGACAAAGGAGCATTCAGAACCTGCTTTGACAGAAAGAAATGAAGGCCATTAAAAGTCAAAGGCTTCCCCAAACTAAATTGTCTGCTGTGTGCTCTCAACAAAGCCGTGGTTCATTTGCAAAAGCTTTGAGCTCCCACAACAAAAAAAGGCTGTGACAGGAGATAAGTGCTGTCTCTGCAACCAGGAGCTAAATCCTCCTGACTTTTGACATGGCTCTCTGCCTGTTTAGGCCGGATTTCTTTCCTGCATTAAAATATGTTGTTTTTCTGACTTTCTGATGGATTTGTTCAGATTTGGAGGTGCAGCTGTTTTACTTTTTACTCTGTATTATAGATGTTCATCATCATGGTGCTGTGATTTAATTTTGGTAGTGGTGTGAATGGCCATGCATGGTGTAAATGAGATGATATATGTATCCTGACAGCATGTCTCATGTTTTGTTCCCTTAGGGCACCAATGCCTCCGCTTTGGAGAAAGACATCGGCCCAGAGCAATTCCCGATCAATGAGCACTACTTCGGCTTGGTCAATGTGAGTTCCACTAAATCCTCTCATGCATTTACAACATTCACTGTCAGATAACACTGGAGTCGTGTTTCAAAACAAAGAGCGAGATGGGGAAAGCTGTGAGTCATGTCTGCTTTTGGACAGCTGGCATTAAAGGTGACGGAGCTGTTTGTTGATCACGGGATGTCCTGCGTCTTTAATGTGGTCGCAAACACATGTTTCCCTGCCGGTTTGGTCAACTGCTCTGCCTTATAAATACATTCTTAGTCCTTCATTGTCTTCATATTTTGTTGGTTGGTTGTTTTTTTTTTGTTTTTTTTGTTGGGCATTTAATTGATGAAACCAAAAGAAAATGGTGCATTTATATAAAGAAGAAGAAATATAAACTCCATACCTGAAAAAAATCTGCCGCACATTTGTATCAAATATCCCACTAAAGAAATTGATACGGCCGAGGCGGTGAGGAAGTGGGGGCAAGTTTGTGCCACAATGGAGGGACATAAGGGCAAAAAAGAGCAGGGATCCAGGTGGAAAAAAAGTCCCAGCATTCTCGTTCACCTCGCTCTTCTAGCTGGTCCATCTTCACCAGTCGTTTTCCACAATGGCGGTCATATAAACAAAACAAGCCAGTAAGATAACAAACAGGAAACATGGATGGTGTAGAGCGATGTAGATTTGACCAATCAGAGGCCTCCTGTCTGCAGTCACCTACAATTTTGGAGAGGTGCAGCAGAGTGTCTGCGGAAGCGGCGGGGCCCATTTGCGTTCACTGCAACACACACAGACAGCCTGGTTTCTGAGCATAAATCAGCCTTAAGCCGACCTTTTACTGTGAATACAGCTGCTGGACGTTTGGGAGGGTCTTCAGCAGATTTTCTCATCTATTTCCAGAGATTTTTTTGTCTTTTCTTCTTCTTTCAGCCAAATCAGATCAGATGCACTGATTCTATCCACGTCAAGTTTAGGTTGTTACCACAGGTTGATTGGATTTAGGTCTGGACTTTGAATGGGCCTTTTCTACCAATGAATGTGCTTTGTTTGCTTGGGATTGTCCTGCTGGAAGGTGAACATCTTCCCCAGCCTCTTATATTATTACCCTTTGTTTGACCTCTGAGAAATGTTCAGATGTCTAGATTAAAACGTTAGTTGTTCCTTCTCTGACAAAAGCCTCTTTATGACATATTGGCTGTTTTCCCTTTAAAGGGGTCATAGAATGATTCTATAGGGTATGTGGTCCTTAAGGTCTCTGAATAGGGTGCGTAACATTGGTTGGACTGAAAATGGCATATTTGCTGTTCTATGAGCTCTAATGCAAGCCTGGTTAAAAGCCTCAGAATGAAACAACAGGTTTTCTTCCTTTTATGGTGTGCTAATGAATATTTAGATGAGCTGTGCTCTGATTGGTTGGTTTACAACGAGCGAAGCAGCCGATCAAACACGCATCATAGCAACAAGCCAGCGGGGGACAGAGCGAGTCAGGTAGTGTACAGGGGGTTACAAGAGGCGATCAGCCTCTCACGACAACCTCCCGATCAGGGATCGTGAGGTCGGGAGAAAATCAAACATGTTTGATTTTCTCCCGACCATCGTAGGCAAATCGCTCAGGGCACATGCGCAAACAAGGATTCTTCTGTAAACACAGCAGCATGGCGGGGATACGAGTGAAATGCAGTTCTGTATGTAAAATTGACAGACCNACAAGCCAGTAAGATAACAAACAGGAAACATGGATGGTGTAGAGCGATGTAGATTTGACCAATCAGAGGCCTCCTGTCTGCAGTCACCTACAATTATGGAGAGGTGCAGCAGAGTGTCTGTGGAAGCTGCGGGGCCCATTTGCGTTCACTGCAACACACACAGACAGCCTGGTTTCTGAGCATAAATCAGCCTTAAGCCGACCTTTTACTGTGAATACAGCTGCTGGACGTTTGGGAGGGTCTTCAGCAGATTTTCTCATCTATTTCCAGAGATTTTTTTGTCTTTTCTTCTTCTTTCAGCCAAATCAGATCAGATGCACAGATTCTATCAACGTCAAGTTTAGGTTGTTACCACAGGTTGATTGGATTTAGGTCTGGACTTTGAATGGGCCTTTTCTACCAATGAATGTGCTTTGTTTGCTTGGCATTGTCCTGCTGGAAGGTGAACATCTTCCCCAGCCTCTTATATTATTACCCTTTGTTTGACCTCTGAGAAATGTTCAGATGTCTAGATTAAAACGTTAGTTGTTCCTTCTCTGACAAAAGCCTCTTTATGACATATTGGCTGTTTTCCCTTTAAAGGGGTCATAGAATGATTCTATAGGGTATGTGGTCCTTAAGGTCTCTGAATAGGGTGCGTAACATTGGTTGGACTGAAAATGGCATATTTGCTGTTCTATGAGCCCTAATGCAAGCCTGGTTAAAAGCCTCAGAATGAAACAACAGGTTTTCTTCCTTTTATGGTGTGCTAATGAATATTTAGATGAGCTGTGCTCTGATTGGTTGGTTTACAACGAGCGAAGCAGCCGATCAAACACGCATCATAGCAACAAGCCAGCGGGGGACAGAGCGAGTCAGGTAGTGTACAGGGGGTTACAAGAGGCGATCAGCCTCTCACGACAACCTCCCGATCAGGAATCGTGACCATCGTAGGCAAATCGCTCAGGGCACATGCGCAAACAAGGATTCTTCTGTAAACACAGCAGCATGGCGGGGATACGAGTGAAATGCAGTTCTGTATGTAAAATTGACAGACCGTAGTAGCCACGTTTTTTTTTCCAAATATGTGTTGCCTTTTCTTTTTAGGGCTTTCAGCACAAAATTGCACAAATTGCCGATGCAGCGCGTTTCACTCTAGTGTGCTTTATATTCCCCTTTTATTAGTTTTGCTTCTTGATAGACGAGTCACAGCAGCTCCATCTCACTGCGGAGCTGAGTCCGACGTAGTTTTTAGTTGTACAGTGTGAGCAGGTAGATGGCATGAGCGCATTGGGCCGAACATAAATCATGAGACGCTGATCACACTGAACGACTAACCCTGCAGTCGGAACAGTCTTTCGTTAAAAGAAGTTTAGCAAATCCTGCTTTGAACTGTCCAAGATTTCAAAGCTGTCAAATGATTTCAAATGAACAGCTGAGCATCAAACTTTGCAGGGATCTTCTGATAGACAAAAATAATCCTTGGGGTTTGAACTTCTCTGTACGTCCATCTCACCCACTGAACTATCGTTATTCATCTATGACAATGTAAACTCGGTTTTGCATTTTATGACCCCTTTAATGGCTGTGCAGTCCTTGATTCTTATGGATATCTTTTGATAACTCCTTTGTTTTTGTCCCTGTGTGGCTCAGGTCATGGATGCTTTGCATCATTAACAGATGTTGAAGTCCTCAGACTGTCTTGGTTTCAGCTCCTGTTCCCTATTTGCTTCCTCCCATCCCACCCTCACTATCGAAGCATTAATGGAACAAAACGATAACTTTCTTCTTGCCACTCTTTAATAATAATGTGAAACCTTTTGATAAATGGAGCTTGATTTTAGGGTTTTTGGGTAAAATGCACCAATCTCTATTTATTCACTGGATTGACAATAGTCCGCTAGTAGTACAGGGTGCTATGAAGTCACCAGCCGCCATGTTGGTACTCCCTACTTAGAGCGGTCAGAATGTAAAAAAACGTGCGCTACAGCATTGAGCAATGATGATGTTCTCATTTTCAGGTGAATTTAAGACATTTAAAATAAAGACCGATTCATCACTTTGACATAAATTCATAGCATCAGTAGATTACTGTAGGTTATGGTAAAAATAGGCACATCACATATTCAGTATAAAGTCCATGAAGTCTATAAATCATGTAATATAACATATTATACAAATCCATGGCATCAAAATTGGTGTGCTACTGGAGCACAATAATACAGTAGTCAGATATTAAGAATATTACACACACCATCTGATGTGCCAAAGGTGCTTCTTTGATTATGTACATGTAATATATATGCATTGATTACATTGCTATGGTAATCACATTACATTACAGGCATTTTTATTGTGCAACTCTTTGAGAGTGGGGAGTACTACGATGGCGGCGGGTGAATTTAGTTTTTTCGGCCTACCAGCAATCCAGTGTATAGAGATCAGTGTTAAAAGGAAGTTAGATACAAATTAACAACCAGATATTTATATTTTCTTGGGGGGGAAATAAACAGTTCTTCCCTTTAATTGATTAGGCTCTACTTTCAGGGTTTATTTGTGATTGTATGGGTGTGAATACATGCCACTACAAACAGATCCTCCATCTGATTTGCTGATTTTTCTGATTGATGTTTGAGTTTTTAGTTCTAATGCAACCCCTCCGTCTCCTCCACACTCTTCCCTCCCCAGTTTGGAAACACGTGTTACTGTAACTCGGTGCTCCAGGCCCTGTACTTCTGCCGGCCGTTCCGGGAGAACGTGTTGGCCTACAAGGCCCAGCAGAAGAAGAAGGAGAACCTGCTCACATGCCTGGCCGACCTCTTCCACTCCATCGCCACGCAGAAGAAGAAGGTGGGCGTCATCCCGCCTAAGAAGTTCATCTCCAGGCTACGGAAGGAGAACGGTAAGAGAGCTGCGTCCAACTAGAAGTCTGCTGACAATTTATACAGCAATATGCTGGGGTTTGGGGTCACAAAGCAGATGTTTTCCAATTTTCTGTCTTCCTGCTTTTATTTAATACTTGAAAGGTTCAGATTTGTGTTGTGTGTTTGCAGCAGCGTCGTCTTTATTGTAATCTGAATATTTAGGGTGAAGGGCGGTTGCATGTTGGTGGTAAGGTCGTTCATAGCAGAGCTGAGAGAAAGCCTGATTGTTCTCTGCTGTCCAAACTCGATGTGAAGGAACAATGTGATCTCTGTCTGCAGCCAGCTCTGGTCAGCTGCCTCTTCTCTGGAGTTTTTTTTTTTTTTCCTGCTCCCCTCATCTCCTCCACTTCTCATTTTCACCTCTCACATTATGCATGAAAGCAGGAGTGTGTGCAGGTGCTGTATGTATTATCAGCAAAGTTAGCTGACTGTTTACAACGTCTACAGTTTCAGAGGGCAGAAACAAAGTCAGGGCGAGTTAATCCCTGCTTATGGATGTCTCACTAAAAAGAACATTTGAACAGAAATGATTCTCAGTTTTATGAAAATTCTAATAAATTGATTATATTTCATTGAATAATCCAAGGAAAGCGTCTATTTACTCGGTGTTTAGTAAACCTTGGTGTTCTTTTGTCCTTATTTACTTTGTGTACGGTTTGCTTTTTGAATTTGCAGCCTTGAATTAATAAAGAAATAGTTTTCAGTCCTTTAAGTTAGAGCGACGTCCATGCTGAAGAGTAGTGCTGCAAGCTTTTCCAGGTCACTCCTCTGTGCCATGTATTGACTTTGACCCGCCAGTCACTAATCAAGGCCACTTGGGCTTAAAACTTTCTTTTTTTTTTTCTTTTTAGGTAAAAATTTCCTCTGTTCCTAATGGAAGCCAAGGAATGTGTAAAATAGGCACTGATGTCCGATTTGGACATTTATTTTTCTCATACCTTATTCGTCGATTAGTATAAATGCATCCTAAAAATATTTGTACCATTTTTTTTCCTCATGCTTTTAATTTTGCGTTTTTTCCCCTGAATGGGTTTACTCATTTTCATAAAACTTCACTTAACTTTGGTTTCAGTCTGATGAAGGATTTCTCCCATTCTTCTTCTAAAGGGTGGCTTAGACTTAGTAAGAATGATATTTATAACCTTCATAATCATATTATTTATTTTGGGATTCATAAAGTATCTTTAACTTAAATTGAACTATTATTAATAGTAATGATAAAAATGATAGTAGTAATAATAATCAGAACCCTATTATGATAGAGTCCTGAATGCCTCACAGGTTTAACAAAAACTGTTTGGGGCTCACAAGCTGTAATTGGCAGCATGATGTTAAAACACATGAGAAATCTCCTCATTTCAAGGTCAAACCGTTCACATTGTGACCTCTCCATTTCTCCGCAGCTAAAAGCCATCTTTGTTTCCTTCCTGTCCTCGTCTCCCTGCAGATCTGTTTGATAACTACATGCAACAAGATGCCCACGAATTCCTCAACTATCTGCTGAACACGGTAGCCGACATCCTGCAGGAGGAGAAGAAGCAGGAAAAGCAGAACGGACGCCTGAAGAACAACAGCCCGGCCGAGGCTGAGATGGAGAACAAGACGGAGCCCACGTGGGTTCACGATATCTTCCAAGGCACGCTGACCAACGAGACGCGCTGCTTGAATTGTGAAACGGTATGTGAGAGCAGACCAGGTTGATTTGTGTATTTTACTTTTTTTTTTGTTAGCCTGAATAATGATAATAATCCATAGGAGACACTATGGAGACTCATCCTCCCACAGCATACGTCAGGACCACTATAAGCTTTGTTCACTCAGTTCTGAAGGCGAGTAAAGGGCCGGGTTGCCCTGAGCAACCCTTGTAAACACCCAAGGCACTGCTCCTTGTGCAGACAAAGGCTCCTCAGTAAAATGAGCATTTCAAAGGCTGCCAGCGTGGGTTTACATGTGAGCGTGTGGGCGAGCGGTTGTTGTGTCACAACAACAGACGGCTTATCCTCCCTGACTTAGTTAGAGGAAAATGACATTTAAGTTTCATGGCTGTCTTTACAGGTGAGCAGCAAAGATGAGGATTTTCTGGATCTTTCTGTGGATGTGGAGCAGAACACATCCATAACTCACTGTCTCAGGTACGTCGGCTTTAGCGTGCACTGAAGCACAGCGTTTAGCGCTGGAGACGCTAACCAGTGACATCCTCTCTGTTTCAGGGACTTCAGTAACACAGAGACTTTGTGCAGTGAATATAAATACTACTGTGAAACATGCTGCAGCAAACAGGAAGCACAGAAACGGTCAGTGAAGTGTCTCACTCCTGACAAAACACTTTAGATTTTAAAATGGAAAAAAATATTCTTTTTTATTTATATATATATATATAATTAGGGGTGGAACGATTCACAAAATCCACGGTTCGGTTCGATTCACGGTTTCTGGTCACGGTTTTCGGTTCGGTTCGATACATGTTGATTGTTACACCGAAATCCATAAAAATTTATGAAATTAATGAAAAAATCCCCCAAAAAATAATGGATTGTAATTATTTTAAATGATCCGTGGAAACCCTGAATCATTTCCGTATGTTTTGCTGCTTTGAATTTAATCATCTCACGCATGCTCTCTACCATCTCCAAGGGACTCAGAGGGGAGCGGATGGAAGCCACAGTGGAGGCTGTAGGCTTTGCTTTGAGCAGCCGGTCTGTAGCGCAGTGGGGGTTGCTGACGGAGTATGAGGGATTTCGGGGTTAGCATGACATGTTGGTCATGTTGCTGTTAGCATAAACAAAACGTGTTGCACAATGCTTGCACACTGTTGCACTTTTATCCACAACTTTCTTTCCGCCGTCATCGTAGGTCACTCTAAATGCAAAGTGGTCCCATACAGCAGACCTATAAAGTGCTGCTGGCGCGTCTTCCAACTCCTGTTCTTTCCCACTCGCCATACCCACACAATTCTCCACAACAACTGATTTTTTTCCCTGCTGCTTCGCTTCTTCTTCTTCTTGTTTACTACTGGTAGTTGGCTTTGGTCGCAGTACCGCCACCTTCTGCTCTGGAGTGTAAACGCTTCGCCTATGAGAAAAAGGAGCAGCGCATGAACCGAACGAAACACACGCGAACTGAACCGAGACAGTCGAACCGAACGGTTCTGACGGTTTTCATAAATCGTCCCATCCCTAATATAAATAAATATATATATATATATATTACGGAAGAGGATTAGGGCCACTGGGGAAAAAAAAAAAAGTTAACTTTTTTTTAAATTTTATTTCAGTTCAGTATGTGGAAAAAAGTAAGAATTCTGACTTTTTTATTGTCAGAATTCTGAGATTAAAGTCGGAATTCTGAGGAAAAAAAGTCAGAATTCTTACTTTTTTCCCCATACTAAACTGAAATAAAATTTAAAAATCAGTTAACTTTTTTTTCCAGTGTTATATTCTGTTTAAAGTAACATAGTATGATTAAAAATGTCTCCGGACCTTTACTGGTTGATGATTTTCTTTATTCGGACCCCGCTGGTTGTTAATTGTTTCTCCCTGCTCTACAGGATGCGTGTGAAAAAGATCCCTATGATCCTGGCTCTACACCTGAAGAGATTCAAGTACATGGAGCAGCTTCACCGCTACACCAAGCTCTCCTATCGGGTGGTTTTTCCACTAGAGCTGCGCCTGTTCAACACATCTGGGGATGCAGTGAACCTGGACCGCATGTATGATCTGGTGGCTGTGGTGGTTCACTGCGGAAGGTAAGGCTGCTGGTTTGATGAGTGAACGACAAAATAAAGCAGCAGACGATGTTATTTCCACATTCGAGGTAAGGTAGCAGTTTTCTAACAATGCGATCATTGTTCTCTCACCTCAGCGGCCCAAACAGAGGTCATTACATCACCATTGTAAAGAGCCACGGCTTTTGGCTTCTGTTTGACGATGACATAGTGGAGGTGCGTGACTCAGCCGCCTTTCAGCTACCTGCTGTTTTCTGATAAACTTGTTTTTGTGCTTCTTATTCTCGTCTCTAAACCTTTGTTGCTTTTGTGCAGAAAATCGACGCCCAGGCCATCGAGGAGTTTTATGGGCTCACCTCAGACATTTCTAAAAACTCCGAATCTGGATACATCCTTTTCTACCAGTCGAGGGAGTGACACCGGTGCTAGATGAGCCACATGAAGAAGACCGTTGTTTTTTATTTACTTTCTAGCATAAGAAACCCAGACCTTTCTCTCCATCCTCCCTGACATGTGTGCCAGTCCTCCTCTGGGTTTGATTCCTTTTCTTTTTATCTCTGCTTTTCTCTCTGAGTTAACAGACTTTTGTCTTGTAGTCACCTGCATCTGGACTGCACTTTAAAAAGCAAAAGCAAAAATGCTCAACAGCATGATAGAAGTGAAGCAGACGCTTGGTGTTGCTGCTGGGAGACACGCAGACAGCAGTCAGAAGCTGAACCATATCGGATATATTTATGTAAAGTCCATAATGTGCCACCCAGTCATAATTCCTCTTATTAGGGCTATTTTTCTCCTTTTGTTCTCTTTTAGCTGCATGAGACATGGATGAACCTGCAGACATTTCATTCTCCTCAAAAGGAGCTGAAGCAATATCCCAGCTTTCATCCAAAACTACCTAAGCTAGAAACTATTCCAACTAAGAACACTATCTGAGCCACAAACTCTTTAACACTACACATTATTCTTAGAGAGATGCACCGATCAGGCTTTTCAGATTAGCTCTGACCCGCTTTTCTGTGTTTAGTCTGGTTTTATAACACCGGACTTGGAACACATTAAACAGGAAATTTGTGCTGCAGAAGCTGAAAGAATTGCCAAATTATCGCCGTTTATGCATCGAAGCACACGTCGCTATCTTTTATATGAAACTAAGGAGTGGATCAGAGGGAGTGCTGTTGGTTGATGCGTTTTATAGTTAAAAAATGGTGGGAGTTTTTAGTTTTGATGCATTTTTTACTGATCTGACCCGATAAAGAGGACATTGTCCGATTCTAACCTCTGGATAACCGATTGGTGCATCTCAAAAGAATTTTAACACCAAAAGGATGTTTGTTTTTGTTAAAGGTACCAACTATTTATTGAAATTATTATTATTATATATTTATTGGGATTTATTCTATTTCATGCTGACCTGATGGTGTGTGTGTGTGTAAAAATGTTTTTATCTAAACTCCCTGTAAAACCCAACGTAAAGTTTAAAAAGATTAATCCAGGAAACACCTTCCGCAACAATATGACCTCTTGACTGATATGAAACTAGTGCAATATGTGGTGTTGGTAGCTGATGTGGAATTTCCCTCTGAAATGGAGCATTTGCATCTTTTTTTTCTGGATCAGTAGCTGATTTGTTTCTCCGCTAATCTTCCTCTAGTGCCATGTGTCTGTAGTTCTTAGAGTACGGTGGATCTCAGAAATCAAAATGCCAGGTTTTGTACCCGACTGAATTTATTTTAACTCTTCTCACCTTGTGATGCATCGACAAATCCTTCAGTGTCGCTTTCGGCCTTTGAGTACCCTTACTGACCAGCTTTTTAATTTTAAATTTTTTTATCAAGTTTGAGAAAAGTCCAGTTTTTGCCGTCACTGCTGTCCCACTTTGTCTTTGTTCTATTCACTGCACCTTGGCGCACTTTCTGTACCCCCACATTTCAGCAACCTAGAATTATACCTTGAGGATGAAAATTAACAAAATCAGGAGGAACCTTTAAGCTGCACCTTAAGTTTAGCTTATTCTGATCCAATAAACAAATAGATTTAATATTAAATTGAATCACATGTCAAAATGTCATTAAATGCTAGATTGGTTCCTTTTCAGTTGAAATATGAAAATGTGAAGTTTTTCATGGTTTAAAATCTGGCATTTTACTGGGCGCTGTGCACTTTTGAGATCCTCTAAATCTTTCTTTTTAACTCCCACCCCACCGGGAAATGAACTACATATCTTTCTGGAACTGCACACAGATTTTATATACATTTTTTTTTCTTCCTTGTTCTTACATCAAACACCAGCTCAAGTAGTTCAACTTTGTTATTTTTTTTTTTTTCATATGTAGCACACTGGAGTCCTGAAAATGAAGGATCCTCCGTTTGAATCCTCTGTACTGTAGATTTTCCTTTACTTGGAGCTTATTTTTCCTTTATATTAATATAAGATCAAGCATTTTTGTTTTTGACATTCCTTGTTTGCTGCACATAATGGAGAATCACTATTCTGTACATCATAATTAGAGGTAGGATAAATAATTTCTTAGTTTAGTGTGTGAGTGCAGGAGAGGCGGATCTGGATGCTAAGCGAGCTCGGTGCTCCCCTCTGATGCTGGTTCTCTTTAACTGGACGAACACGTGCCAAACTGGATTTAATACTGACAGCAGCTGTCTTCAGTGGAGCATTAAGTACTTTGTAAAGGCCACCTTGTGTGGTTTATAATAACGTAGAAAAGTAGTTCAATGAATAAGAAATATTTTTTTAAACAAACGCAAAAATGACGGAGACCTCCACCAAAGGCTGGCTCGTAATGGAAAGTACGCGTGCTGCTTTGTAATCACTACATTGTCAAAGAAATGTGCAGATGTTCACATTTGCTGCTGGGTTTAGACTAGAAAACTGTAGCAGGAGCAGATATGAGGATGAACAGACTAAACATGCTGAGCTTCCATTAACTTATGCACTCTTCCTCACTGGGAGGCTCTGTTATTTCCTGTGTGTGTGTCTTGGCGTCCTACTAGTCCTGCACCATGTTGGACGTGACTGGGCCTCTGTGAGGGGACGACTAGACGACTAGGAGTCTATGTGGCAGTTAATTGCAAAGTGCACTTTATTAGTGATGAGCTCTATGCTTTGATGAGATGAACCACAGTGTAACACCCTCACAATGACTTTTTTTTTTCTTGTGTTCAATAAAATTATCATGAACTAACCTGGGTTTTGCTTTTCATTAATTATTCAGTTTATCATTGGAAAGATAAAGTCTAAAAACTGCAGCCTGTGTCTTGCGTTCATTTTAATGAGAATGTAGCTAATTTCATGGTTTAGATTTCCTCAAATCAATGGTTTGAAACAGAAATGGCACGATTGGGACATGATTCAAAAGGATTCAGGTCTCCCATTCACAAAATATTTTGTACATCATGCAGAAATGGGATATTAAGTAGGCCTGCATGGTTACGTTCAGTTTTTCTTTATATAGAATAAATTCACAACATTTCCTCTTAAGGAACATAAAGTTTTTGTCAAGGAAAACAAGTTGATGTCATCGAGTCACTGACGTTCAGGATATGCTCACACCAAGCGTGCACACAATGGCAATAGAGAGGGGGAAAAAAAACCCTTTTAACAAGAAGAAACCTCCAGCAGAACAAGGCTCAGAGCGAACGACCATCTGCCGAGGCCGACTGGGGTTCAAGAAGACAGAAGCAGAGATGCAACAGGCAACTGTAAACCAGCTCCACAGGCGGCACCGTGCAGGAAACGCACAGCCAGGCAGATAAGCTTTAAGCCAGCTCCCATGTCAGAGGATGAAGAGAGCACATACTGTTAGTCAGAGAAACAGGAATACACTGAAAAACAGCCCAAGCTACAACATCTATAAACAAGGTGTTAATAGCAGCAGCACAGCTGTACTTTTTTGTGCAAACTGTAGTTTCAATTAGTTTTTCAATTCACACATTTTCTGAAAGAAATTCTCCTACTCCCAGAATTCTACTCAAACACAATGGGAAAAAACGCCTCAATTCTCCTGCAAAATGAAACTTAACATTCAAAACAATGTTATTTCTTCTGAAAATAGTATTTTTTCACATGACACACAAACCATCATATTAATAGACATAACCACTTGAACACTGTGCTCAATGAAAACACTGATGAAAACACTTCTCCATTCATTATATTGGCTTAGGCCTTTTTTTGTTCAGTTATACTCCAGACAGTACATGCATATGTGTTGTAAAATTTTATTTTCAGAACACACAAATACACAACAACGAATATATTTGTTCCACAAAAACAATGTAAACAGTCTAGATCCCATCCAAGACAAAGTTGCCTTACATTACATACAAAACGGAGTAAAAAAAAAAAAAAAAACTACTATGCTGCATCCTCTCTTGTTTTGGTCCGGCCACAGCTCCTCAGCCACATCACAGGCAATGTTTTCCCAAGCCAAGCAGCAGGGGAAATTTCGCCTAGCATGGTGATTCCAGTCATGAAAAGAATGAGCTGCTATATCTCCACACGTGTCCTCCATAGCTTGGAAAGGAGATGTACGCATTGGTGGATTTTGGTCATACACTTTCCATCTCCAGGCAGAAAAAAATTCCTCAATAGGATGGAGGAATGGAGAATATGGAGGGAGAGGAAGAACTAAAAAGCCTGGGTGGGCAGTGAACCAGTTACAAACCAGAGCAGCCCTTTGAAAACTTATGCTGTCCCAAATGACAATGTACCTGAGCCAGGGGCGGAGCTACATGGTGGGCCAGGGGTGGCCATGGCCACCCTTAGCTAATCATTGGCCACCCCTGTGGCCACACCTACTATTTATTTCTCTCTAATACAGGTGGTGGCAACAGTAATACTCTCAATTGGAATATTCAGAATATTTCATTTTTTCATATATTAACAAAAACACTGGTTAATGATGCACATCAAAGATAACATTAAAGGTGATAAGTCAGAATTCAAGCAGAAATAGATTTTGTGTTTTATGGAGTAAAGAGAAAAGTCATCTAGGAGTCTTCAGTGAAATCATAGGTAAATAATTATTTTAATAAAAACGTATTAAATAATCAATTTACGTAGCCATTGGCGCTTGTAAATATCAGTTTTATGCAGAATGATTTCTGATAAAAGTAGGTAAGTAATGACAATGGAAAAGATGTTCGCCCAAAACTCAAACCTGTAAGAATTTCATCCATGATACTGTTTATCTAGAAAGTGCGGATGTTTGAATATACTCGTCTATTTGTTAGCAAAGGCTGTGGGAAAGTATGGTTTGTCTTTATTTAGAGAATATGGATGTTTTGCTCATTAATTTTCCAGTTGGAACACTGTAGATTGACTGTGAGGGTTTGGTGCCTATCTACTTTCGGCCGGCCCTCAGTGTACATTGGTTATTGCCTGGCCACCCTTATAAAAATGTTCTGGCTACGCCTCTGACCTGAGCTGCTCTGGGCCGTCTACCTGATCTGGTGGAATGAATTGTGAAGTCGAACCCAACCTCATCAATGAAGATGAACGGGTGCTCCACTGCAGCCACCTCTAGCTCAAGGACTAACTGAAACACACAACAATATCAGAAATAGACATCCAGTGGCCACTATTGTGAAGCACAATCATTATGATTAGAATATCGAAATATGTATAATTTACTCTATACAGTGTTAAGAGTATGGATCAGTTGTGGGAATAACTTGCACATAGTTATATCACAATTCTTTGACCCTTAATTGTGTTCAAATGGCAGCCTGTAGACCTGCTTCATCCTGAGATGATTTCTGTGCAAGACATGGTCCAGTATTAATAAGCTTACCATGTCAATATTTTGAAATATATATATATATATAATTTTTTTACTTTTTTTTTCTTTGTATTTTCTGTAATGTGATGGTGTTGTTTTCTAGGACCATGTTTATTATTTCAGTTTCCTGTTCAGGAGACAAAACACGTTCCGGACCACCTTGTGTTGATTATCTTTCAGTTCTGCCAAACAAATTGGAAAATACTGTAAATACAAAGTAGGTCCCATTTTCTAAATACTTGAAACATACTTTACAATATTTTTAAAGTCCCACAGAATAGTCCACAGGCAGTACTGCACTATTGTACTCATTGAGTACTGTATTGATATGCAGTACTGCAATTTTACAGTGAGAGATTTCTTACCTATTCTCATTTTGGAAAGTTCAGATGATGGATGCTACAATGTACCTGCTCAGATTTGGCTGTACTCTTTGCCCAGCCTCCTTCATTGTTAGACCACGGTTGACCACATGATCAACCACAATGGCTTGGCTCTCATCAGGGATTACTATCTTTTGCCTTTCCCACCCTGTCCTTCTCTGGCTCTGCCTCTGTTTCCAATGTTTGCATCCACTGCTCCACTGAAGAGTTCACCTGTTGCCCTTTTATGCTAAAGCTCTGATTGCAAATGTAAAACTGTTCAATGGGTGTTTGCCCTTGTGATGAGTCAATGTGCATATTTGAATGGCTGTGTGTTACTTCTCTGCATTTCTGCATGAAACTTGTGCAAAGCTCAGAGAATAGTGCGTAGTGTTTAAAAAAAAAAGTGTTTCAGAACTGCACTTTATGTGTAAAGCAAGAATCATGCTTGTAGTTCAGCAGAATTGGTTCAGGGGGTTGGTGAATGGGATACGTTTTGTGGTCATTGTGTCTCAAGTACCATCATTTGTGTGTAAATACATGAGAAAAACTGTAAATACTGCAGAATGAGAAAGTAGAAATAGAATGAAGCAGAATGAGGAAAAGTGGTCTCAATGTCCTCCAGCAGCCTAAACATATAGCAGCATTAATGTAGAAAATAGCTCAGGATAAACTATTTAGGACAAGCCAAGGAGAAACATCTGTGTGGTCTGTTTGAAAAGCCGCTTAGATTTTTTTTGGCAGTAGTGGCCCATTTTATGGAGAGCAGGCTAACAGTAAAGGGGTATGAGAGAGGGGGAGAGACATTCAGGAAAGGACCACAGGCTGGGTTTGAACCCGGGTCGCCTGTGTCAAGGATTAAGACATCCATACATGGATGGTGTGTGCTAACCACTGCACCCCACTTAGTTTTTATCGGTTGATGTGCATAAATATTTTCTACACACAGTATTTATACAGGCATTGCATTATATTTAGGAGCGTAGTGCCTTAATTAATGCTGGATGAATAATTGATAAGACTATGTATCATTTTTTCCTCTAGGATGGTACATAAAGGAGCGAGCCAGTACACATGTTAGCATCCAGAAATATGGTAACCCAGTATTACAGGGGTTTGTCATCCTCCCTTCAAACAACATTCACTTTTCTTAAACATCGTTTCCTGCTGTGGAAATATTAAAATTCAATGCTGAGTTTCCTAAAAGAATTTGTAAAATCTCCAAAGTGTGTGTTTTAGTGGAGTACACACATATCTAATAGGAATTCGTTTCAATATTTGGAGAACTTTAATCATTATTCTTGTATGTTGCATGTGCGTCATCCTTTCTACTCAGCAGGCGTTCAAAGGACACTGGTGATTCACAAAGGGTTTTAATTCAACATAATCACTGCAATCATGAGCATCATTAACTCGCCACATTACCTGCACACTCCTCTAATTATTACTATCAGCTGGTAGATTCTGGAAAAGCATTTTATGAGTCACATTAACGCATAGATTACAGGAAGCTCTGATTGACAGATTAGAAAGAATTAGTCTTTTGTTTTAGTCAACCGGATGAACCATTTCCCATCTCAAATTGCAATTCCAAAAGTTAAGTTTGATTACTACCAGCTGATGACAAAACTAAAGTAAAAAAATAATTAACATCTCTCAAACTATTGTTCTGTTAAAGCTTAATGAGGTGGACCAACAAATAACAAACCTTAATTGCTTTGCCTCCCTGATAGTTTTCAGGGAGATCCAGTATTTTCCCTCAAGGCAGTGTGTGTGTACTTGTTTATGATACCTATTTATCGTCTTTGGTATATTTACTAACCTTATGAGGACCAACATGCCTTATGGGGACGAATGATGACAAGATGACAAATGCAGCTGGAGTGAAGGCTTCAAGAACAACACACTAATCACAGATTCAAAACATGGGCTAACTTTCTTTTCTTAAACCATTTCTGAACCAGACAAAATGTCAAACTCTTCTTAACTGGTTTAAGAAGGAGTGGACAGTCTCTTAATGGATAAGACTTTCTA